AGTGGCAGCCGGGCCAGCTCGACTGGGGCAGCAGCATCGCGCAGGCCCAGGCCGCCGAGCGCGACCGGAGCCGCCGATTCGGCCAGGAGGGCTTCAGCGGCGGCGCCGAGCAGCTCGCGGCCACGGCGCCCCCGCTCCGCCATCGGGCTGCAGAGGGCCGCTCACAACGAGGTGGCCCGCAGCGACTTCCTGGCACGCCGCCGTGTGAAGCCGCTGACGCAGCAGCACTACGGCCGCGCGGCCGCGGAGGTGAAGCGCTTCGCGGAGAGGCACCACTACCCGCAGCGCACGCCTGCGCAGAGGGACCAGCTCATGGTGGACTACCTGCAGGGCATCTTCCTGGCCGGGGACGGCATCTTCGCAGCTCGCACCGCGCTCTACGGCTACGCGTTCGAGGAGAAGATCAACCTCAGGGACGCCTCCGAGTTCCCCCAGGCCCGCCTGACGCTCAAGGGCTTCTCGAAGGCGGCGCCTGGGGAGCAGCGGGACCCTTGCCCATGGGAGGCGGCGCTGCTGATCATCGATCATTGCCTCAGCTCCCCATGCCCGCGCCAGCGGCTCGTGGGGGCCGCCGTGGCAGTGGCCTTCGACGGCTACCTTCGGCTCTCGGAGCTGCTCAGCGTGAAGGCCTGCAACGTCACCTGCCTCCAGCACTCAGCGACCTCGGCCTGCCCCCAGGTCTCGATCTCCCTGATGCCTGCGGCTCCGCCCGACTGCCCGCCGTCCGCGACGACGAAGTCCAGCGAGTACGACGACGCGGTTATCGTCGGCGGCAGCGCGGCGGCGGCCGCTCCCAGGCGCTGGGTGGCCAGGCTCGGCCACTCCAGCCACCGGGCCGCTCTTCCCATTCACGGCCCGTGAGTTCGAGGCCGCCTTTCGGCAGGCGGCTGACGCGGCCGGCCTGCAGAGGCCGCGCCTGTGCCCCCACGCCCTGCGGCGCGGCGGTGCATCGGTCGACTTCGCTCTGAAGTACCGCTCCCTCGCAGAGGTGCAGCGCCACGGCCGCTGGAAGTGCGCTGCGAGCGTGAGGCGGTGCGAGAAGGCCCGCCGCTTGACTCGTCAGCTCGCCAAGATGTCCCGTGCTCAACTGTCGGCCGCCAGTCTCGTGAGTAAACGCTTAGCTGCCAAAGCATATTTCGACTTTGGCCGCGCTGTGTCGAGGCGAGAGCGAAGTTGCCCCCGAGGAGCCCTGTGGCCTCACCAGCTCCCAATACGGGAAAATATGGGTGCAGTCTGTTTGCAGTGTTGTGTCGTGCACGACCGTATGATAGGCATTGCTTTCGTTGGCATACGCATTGGATTCACTTCGGCTCTCGGCCGATCGACGCAAGTTCGTGATGATGAATTGTTGTGCAATCCCTCAGGCTTCGCCTGCGCCGCCATCTCTGGTCGTGCGTCTTGGGGCCTTGCATAATGTCGTTCTTTGAAGTTAATTGTGCCTCGCCTCTCTTTGAGCACGACCGTCTGTATACTTGTGCTCAAGTTTTTCGGCACCGTCCGCCTTCTCCCACCGCCACCTGGGTGCAGTCTGTTTGCAGTGTTGTGTCGTGCACGACTGTATGATAGGCATTGCTTTCGTTGGCATACGCATTGGATTCACTTCGGCTCTCGGCCGATCGATGCAAGTTCGTGATCATGAATTGTTGTACAATCCCTCAGGCTTCGCCTGCGCCGCCATCTCTGGTCGTGCGTCTTGGGGCCTTGCATAATATATATATATATATATACATACATTATATATATATATATACATACATATTATATATGTATATATGTTCGTAGGGGGTGACTGCGAGGGGGGGCGGTGGTTGTGTGCGGGGATCGTTGGAAATGCTCACCGTGGCACTATCCTCCAACATGACATGCACTTATGGCACCGTGTGGCTAAACGCTCGACTTACATATCCCAATGCCAACTATCCTACAACATATGCACATGTGGGAAGCTCCAAAGCTACCACGGGCTGAAAAGGGGAAGGCCTGGCAGCTGAGGAGGGGGGATGAAGAGGAAGAGGCTCGCATTCAACCATACTCAAAGCTCACTCTGACTCATACGCAATCACTCGCATTAGGGGTCACTCGTCTTCGTCGGCCCTGTCGCCCACGTGGACGCGCTATTGTAGTCGACCGCTCATGAACAGACGCTCACCACGGCATGACATAAAACATGAGATGCACATATAGGGAGCTCCACGCAGTGAGTAATTTGAGCTTGGGAGCCCGCCGGAGGCCCCTCATCGGGACCCCGTCCAGGACAGAAGATTGGAGTTCTGGGCCGCGCAATAATAACGGGGTCGACTGCGACGACACCGGCGCGTAATTGCCCGCGTAAGATCGCGCGTATGCACCCTCGTCTCCACTGTGGCGTGCGGTGCCGGCGGACCGCGCAAACCATTGTGCAAGGTCGCTATGTCAACTCGCGCAAGACTGGTTTTTTGATCGTCGCTCGGGTACCCAGGGGCCCTCTCCGGGTGAACCCGTCGCGTCGTCTGCTGGTCGTGCCGTGCGCGGGTGAGTCGTATGTCGCCGCTCCTTCGAGGCACGGCATGCCTGAACTCCTTCCCTTCTTTCGGCATTTGCACATTCTGACTACTACTCTGCCCTCTCCACCGACTCTGTGTGGGAGATCTGTGGCCCCCCTGCGCGTATTGGTTCTCACACAGGATTCCAACAGCTGTTGTCATACCTCTGTGTTTCTACAATCGGATGCTCTCCGGGGTTTCAAAATACAGGCTCCCGCTGAAGCGTGGGCCCCATCTCCGGATCGGCTCAGTGCTCCCGTAGCTGTGAATGGCGCTCTCGCCCCAACGCGGGCCACTTTTCTGGACCCGAGTCCTTTCCCGATTTTGTCGCCCCCCTAGTTTCCCCTCCTCCGCCTTTCCCTGGTCCTCCTGCTCCTCCCACTCCTTCCGCTCCAATTCCTGCTGCTGCTGTTCTTTCTCGTCCTCCTCCTTCCTCATCCGCGTCCTACTCCTGCTGCTCATCCTCCTGGACACCCGCCACCTCCTCCATCCCCTGTCGTTATAGAGAGCTCCTCCCCGTCGCACCCCCAGACGAGTTGGTAGGGTGGGCCGGGGGTTTGGCCTGAGACTTCTTCACCGTTGATGGTCCTGAGACTTGATGGAGGGCGGGTGGTTTTCAAATGTGGCCCTCTCTTCAGCACCGCACACATTCGTATTCAAAGTTTGCAACAGCTTCAAGTATTGAGGGCGAGTCGTTCCCAACATGTGGCTTTCGCCTCAGCGCCGCGTGCGTTCGTTGTCAAGGCTTGCAACAGCTTCAAGTGTGGAGGGCGGGCCGTTTCCAAATGTTGCTGTCGCTTTTGCGTCGCGCAGATTCGTCATAAACGTTTGTCACAGTTTCGCAAATGGAAGGCGGGTCGTTTTCAAGATGTGTCTATCGATTTAGCTCCGCGCACACTCCATTTTAGCGGCAGCTTCAAGGATGGAGGGCGATTCCTTCTCGAAATGTGGTTATCGCCCATGACGTACTGGCACGGTTGAGGATTGTCAGGACGCGACAGTCACGTTGATTCTCGGTGTTGAAGTGCCATGAATTGTGTTCTGGCACGATTTGGGAATGTGAGGGCGCAAAAATCAAGTTGATCTGCGGCCTTGAAGTTCGAGGTATTATGTTTCGGAGCGATTGAAGGTTCTCAGACGGTTGTCTTCTGATGCGGCACTTCCCACAGTGAAGCTAAATCCTTGCTTGCACGGAGCTATGAAAGGTGAAACTTGGAGGGAGGGTTTATTGCAACGTCGTTGATGCGTCTTGGATTTACACTGGTCCTCCTCCTTGTCCTCCTCTTCCTGTGTGCGCAGCTCCCCTTGACAGACTGCACATGACACGATCGGGTCTTCTGGGGGAGTTCCAGGTCGGCTACGACACGCGTCCGCGGATAGGGAAGCATCAGCGCGCGGGAAGGGAATGGGGGGAGAGATAAAATGTCTGATGAGGCGCGAGCGCACCTAGCTTGCTCCACTCCCCCTCTCTACCTCCCATCCTCCGTCCTTCTTCTCCCTCCTCCTCATGCCGCCTCCTACTCGTCCACGTCCACCGAGTCCTTCCCTGCGTCCCCATTCCTGCAAACTTCCCGCGGCCCCCCCTCCCCTCCCCCAGCGCCGAATTCTGAAGTCCTGTGGGCCATCTGGCTCCGGCCACAGCCCTTCTCGGGGCCGACTTGGCCGCATCTTGGAGCCGTGTTGGGGCCAGCGTGAGGCATGCCTCCCGTTGCTCCTCGCTCGTGGGCGCTCTTGGGGCGACCTCAGCGCCAGCAGACCCCCTATGAAGGCGCCCTCGCGCGCAGGGACCAGAATCACAACAGCTCAACCATTCAACCTGAGGGCACCAGCTTGAGAGATCCATCATGCTGGTGGCCCGGTTGGCCCGCGAATTGCCATTGTCCTCTTCCTCATATCCCTTCTCCTCCTCCTCCTCCTCCTCCTCCTCATTGTGACCCGTCTCCCCTCATATGATGGTCATCCCGATCATCGTCATCACCATTCTCTTGGGACCCCTTCGGGAAACATACATACACGATGTGATCATACAGGGACGTGTAGCATCATCACTCCCTGCCAGTGAGTATCACTAGTTGTCCCTTTCCCTCCTTTGCCATGCCCGTCCTCCCTCCCCGGATCCTATCCTCCACTCGCCTGCCTCCTCTCCTTGTTCAAGATCGCCCTCATCCTGATTCTCATCACCACCACCATCCTCATAATCCTCATCATCATCAACATCATCAGCATCATCATCAACATCATCTTATTATTATTATTATTATTATTATTATTATTATTACGACTATTATTATTCATCTTCTTCTTCGTCTTTATCATCTTCGTTACCGCCATCAGCAACACCATATTCTGCCGCCCTCCCTCCATCCATCCATCCATCCATCCATCCACTCTCGTCATCCTGCTCCTCCTTGCATCCGCCCATCCTGCTCTCTCTTCCCTCCCCTCCCGTCTCTGTGGCAGACCCCCCCCCCTGGCGAGTAGTGACAACGTCGTCATCAGAGGCACCTTTGTTACAACAGACGAGGTCAAAGGGAAGCCGCGGCCCTAGACGAGCGTGCGCGAGGGAGGAAGAGGAGGAGGCGGAGGAGGAGGAGGAAGAGGAGCAGGGGGAGGAGGAGTAGGAGGAGGAGGACGAGCAGGTTCACCGCCCATAGAAGGAAAGTCAAGGGAGAGAGAGAGAGAGAGAGAGGAAAATTGGGGTGGGGCGACCATCAGACGAGAGCTGTTTGTTCCCGCCCGAGGCTGCGACCCACCTCGGACGGGCCCTGCCGACAGGGACCCCCCACCCCCCAGAAACTTTCACCTCAGCCTCTGGGTCCGCGGCACCCGCCCCCCTGGCCTGGGCAGAGGCTCGGTCCATCAGCACCTGTCGACCGAGCTCTTCCGCTTCTGCTCTGGAGCTGAAGCCAAAAGCGAGCAGCACGTAATCGATGCCAAGGCGCGGGGCCACAGCTTGCTTCGAAAAAGGGACGACCCTCGGCGCTCTTGGAGCCGCAGCCGCCCTGACAGGGGCCTCCCCGAAGTGCCTGGAGAAACGGGCCCCTGGTCTCCCCCGACGGGGCCTCCGAAGGCCCGAGCGCCACGAGAGGGTGAACAACCGGGTGAAAGCCTTCTTTCAGCCTTTTCCTGACAGTGTACGCTGACTCCCCCGAGGTCCTTTTGGGCCCCTTGCAAGTCCCAGTGAGACCTCGCTGCACCAGGGTGGTCGCATACTGCCAGCAAGAAAGGCAATATATATACATATATATATATATATATATATACATATCTATATATATATATATATATATACCCCGGTTACGGGGGCGAGGCCGCCAGGAGTGTACCTGCGCCCTCCATGGGGGCTCCGGGGCTCACTTTCCCAGTGTTTTTACATGGTTTCGGCGTTCCAGGGCCTCCGAGCCCGCCAGGAGTCTGCCTGCGCCCTGCATGGGGGCTCCGGGGCTCACTTTCCTTGTGTTTTTACAAGGTTTCGGCGTTCCTGGGCCTCGGAGGCCGCCGCCTCCGACCCCCCATCCAGGAGAGCCTCCACAGGCTCCCAAGACGGCCCAAGCGGGCCCCGAGTCGCCGAAAGACCGCTCCAGGACGCCCAAGATAGGCCCAAGACGGCCCGAGAGGCCCCCCAAGGCACTCCACGACGCTTCAAGACGCCTCTCCAGAGCGCTTCAAGATGCCGAAATCGTAAATTTTACGAGGGTTTTCGAACGATTTTGTCCTTCCAGCCTTTTCGGCTGTCCGACGTTCCAAGACGGCTCAATAGGCCCCCCAAGAGCGCCCCAAGACGGCCCAAGAGGGCCCCAAGACGGCCCCAGAGTCGCCCAAGACAGCCCAACAGAGCTCCAAGACGGCCCCAAGATGCGCCCAAGAGGGGGACCATGACTCCAAAATTCAACCCTCCCGCTTGAAGAGTGCCCCAGGAGGCCCCAAGGAGCCCCCCAAAGGCCCCAGGAGGCCCCCAAGAGGCAACAAAACAGCCCCGAGGAGGCCCCACAACGGTCCCAAAACGGCTGCCGAGAAGCTGCGAAACTGCCTTCACGACGTCCCAGACAGGCCAACCACGAGATCCAAACCAACACCCATGAGGCCTCTGACGCACCACCCAGGGCTCGGTGGCGGGAGCAGTGACATCACTTGTGCACAGCATGTTCCGGCGGGAGCCTTCCGGAACACGCTGCAGGAGGAGGAGGAAGATCAGGAGGAGAGAAAGGTGGAGTGGGAGGAGGAGGGGGGGGACGAGGAGGAGGAAGAGGCCTCCCAGACAGCTCCAAGATAGCCGAAGAGGCTTCCAAGAGGGCCCTGGGCGGCCCACGAGGGCCCCAAGGCGGTGCCTGAGGCGCCCAAGACGGCCCGAGAGGGCCCCAAGACGGCCCCAAGAGAGGCCCAAGAAGGGAAACACGAACCGAGAATCCGAGCTTTCTACCCCGAGAGGTTCTCGGGAAGTCCCAAGAGGCCCCCAATCGGATCCAAGAGGCTCCCAAGAAGCTCCCAAGAGGGCCGACGAGGTTCCAAGAGATCTCCCAAGGAGGCCCCAAGAGGCACAACTCATTGTTTTACGATTGGGCTTTGACGGGTTTTGATTTTTTCTGCCTTTTGGCATCCCGATGCTCCAAGACGGCCCCAGAGGCTTCCAATACCCGTCCCATATAGAGGAAGAGGCCTCCAAGAGGGCCCCAAGACGGCCCGCGATGGCCCCAAGACGGTGCTTGAGGCGCCCAAGACGGCCCGAGAGGGCCCCAAGAGCCCCAAGAGAGGCCCAAGAAGGGGAACGCGACCCAACAGCAGAGCGGTCCCCCCACAAGGCCCACAGGAGGCTGCAAGAGGCCCCCAAGTGGTCCGACGAGGACCCCAAAAGCTTCCCGAGGGCCTAAAAGGCCCCTAGGAGACGTCCAAGAGGCTTTAAAATAGCCCAACCCTGCCCTCGATGCGTCAAAACTGCTTCCAGGACGCCCCCGGGAGGCTTCCGGATTGCCTCAATCTGGCCGCAGGTGGCCTCAAGTCGGGCCTCCACGCAGCCAAGACGGCCAATGACGGCTTCAGATTGCAGAACCGATGCCCCCAAGGGACCCTCAGACGCCCCCCCAAGAAGCACCCAAGAGGTGCCTCCAACAGCCAGTTGACGAAGCATGCGGAACACCCCAGAAGCTCCTCAGATGCCGTCGCGCGCCTGTGCTTGATAGCGTTGTCCAAGATCGTCCAGCGCCCCCCCGGCCTGGGCTAGAACCTGAGCGCGCGCGAAGCGCGCGCGATGGTTCTAGCCCAGGGGCCCGAAAACAGCTGCCCGACCCTCCATGGGAGTACCGGGGCTCATTGTCGCCGTGTTTTTTGCAGGGTTTCGGCGTCCCGGGCCTCGGAGGCCGCCGCGATGGTCCTGGACATTTTCCAGATCCTCGGCGCGGGCTCCAAGACCATTCCGCAGAGGGCTCCAACAGGCTACAGGGCAGCCCAAGAAGGCTCCAAGACGGTTCCAGGAACGACTGCAGGGTCTCATGCTTCTTCTATTATCTGTGAGCAAGCTCCTGCTGTCTCCGCAGCTTCTCTGCCCAAGTGCCCCCCCGTCGGCCGCGCGTGCGGACGCCTTATGCAGGCGGTCGCACAAGCGGCTCTCGGGGGCGCTGGGGAGATCTTCTTCAGGGGGCTGCGGGCCGCGCTCTACGAGCGGCTCGTGTCTGCCCCCCTCTCTGTGCTTCAGGACCAAGGGCCTCCTGCGCCTGCCTGGTCCATCCAGCAGGCGGACTCGTCCGAGGGTGAGGGGGCTTACTGCCCCCTCCCTTCGGCGGGTTCCGCCTGCCCCACCGTCTGCCTCGGGCTGGCGGTGGATCTGAGCGGCGGGGTCTCTCCCTGGCTGCTCAGCACGGTCGTCGCCCTCCTTTGGGTGACGGCCGCGTGCAGCGCCTGCGCAGGCTGCTGCTTCGGGCTGCTGGGCCCGTACGTGTGGCGGAGGCTCAGGGCCTCCGCCTGGCCGCGCGGTGCGGTTCCTGCTTCCCCTGAGCAGGACCGCCGTGCGGCGCGAGCGCTGGCTTACGGGGTTCCGCCTCGGCCTCGAGCGCTCGAGCGGGCAGGCGCCCAGCATTCGGGCGGCAGTTCCCACGACAGCGCCCATTGATGGCTGAGCTGCCACCAGTTGGCGGAGGGCCTCTATGGCCCGAGCTCTACCCATTCGCGGCTCCCACGGCTCGCGATTACGCACGATGGCGCCTAGACGACGGCGACACCAGCTGGGCAGCTATCCCCCTCGCGTCTCGAGAAGGGGGCATCCTTCTGGCCCTGCCTGGCGCCTTTCGCTCTACGGCGGAGCTCGTGGCTGCCGAGGCGGATGGCTTTGCAGGAATGATAGGCCCTTTCCAGCTAGTGGACGTCCAGCTCCAGGGGGCCGCTTCACGGCCGCTCGCCACTACTGCATCCGTCCTCGTCGTAGACATCGAGGTTGCAGAGCTCGAGCTCGAGTCGCTTTACCCTCTAGAGGTCGGGGAGGACGCAGTCATCGTTCCCTTCGCCGAGGTGCGGGGCCGCGTCTATTGGCCACATCCTTCGGGGGTTCGGGTGCTTCGCGAGGGCTACGCACGCTTGCACGGCGCCCCGCCTACTGCAGGAGAAGAGCCGCTCCCAGGGGCCGATCGGGCTACTCCCTATCACTCTGCCGACGAGATGGAGGAACCCGAGGGGTTCGCGGCCGACGGGGAAGCCGACCGCACGGCCCCAAGTGCGCGATCTCCCGCGGACGCTGGAGCGCCGCGCGGCCCGCCCGCGAAGCGCGCGGGCACCGCCGCGCCGCCACGGGTTGCGGGTCCCGCTCCGATCGCTCCTGGTGCCCCTGCGGCGTCTCTGGACGACGGGGCTCCTATGACCCGTGCCGAAGTAGCTGCCGAAATGCGCGCCTTGCTTGCAGCCCACGCGGCCTCCACGATGGTCGGCAGACCCGAGCCGCTGGGCCCCGCGCCGGCTGCCCGGAGCGATCGGCCCGAGGTGCCTCAGCTTTTCAGCGACGAAGCGGTGCGCCTCGGGCTGGATCCTGCGGGGATCGAGGCCGTCCTGTCTCACGCGCCCGTGGCCCCACAGCGGGTCTCCGCGCGTCCCAAGGGTCCGACCTCCGCGCTGGTCTCGGCGTGGGAAAAGGCGCGCTCTCTTGCTGTCCCTCGGGCCCCTTCGTCCGGTTTCGGAGCGATGGGCCCCCCGCCGCCACCTGGGCTAGCCCATCCCGCTGCGGCCGACGGCTTTGCCGAGGCGGGCGGCGCCGACGGGTCAGAGCCGCCCCATGCGGCCAATCCGACGGACTTCAGCCTCATGCTACAGTGCCTGCACCAGTCCCTCCTATTGCAGCAGGGGCGGGGCCATCGCCCAACCGTCCATCCGCTTCTGGGGACCCTGAGCGACTCAGCTCAAATTCCGCCCACGAGCTCGGGCGACCCCGCGCCCGCATCGGCCCAGATGGGGGGCATTGCTCGGAGGCGCGAGTGGCAGCAAGCGCTGCTACAGCACGGCCCCGATGTGCGAGGACTGATGAAGGAGAATTTGGCCCGTGTCCTGGGCGTGGAAGT